CTAAAGCCAACTTATCCGAAGCTAAACGACGTGCGCGGCAATGTACGTGTGGGCAGCGAGTGACGATCGTATGGGTATCCGGTGTGGCAGCCGCGGACAAACTTGTAGAAATTGGTTGAGAACAACCTTCTAACAAACGTTGCAACCCAAAATGTACACCGTTGTTTAAGACGGGGTTTATTACCGCAGCGTCAGTTGCTAAACCTTTGACCGAGTTGGTGCTGTCGAGGAGGAGGCATTTACTGGTGTCGACAGTGAGGCCGTGATGTGCTAGAAAATCCATTCCAAGAACAAGAAAAGGGACTTCAGCAATCCAGAATGGCCACTAAACTGCTTGAGATGAGGTAAAATCTACAGTGAGATTCCAGGTACCGAATGTACATTTTGTGGAACCGTTAGCCGCATTCAAGGTGATTGCTTGAGCTAGGAGCCTAGCTTCAGTGGAGAAAGGAGGAATGACGCTCACTTCCGCACCGGTGTCGACTAGGAAATAAACGCTACTAATGAAGTCTCTAACGTGAAACAAGCGGCCCCTGATTCGTGATCCCGTAATCAGTCGTCGGCTTAGTCTTTTCCCGAAACGGGCTGACCTTTCAACGAGCACGGGTGGATGCATTTGGCAGCATCTTTATAAAAACGTGCATGGTACCAAGAATTAATTTGACTGTTTGGCGACAGATCTAAGGCGACTGCTTGATTGTTGTTTTCCACTAAAGTGTATACCTCTACCTTTTCTATCCATGCTAAAGTCGCTTAGTTTTCGATAAAGGCCTGGAAGAGGTCGTCGATGGATGTGGCTGGAGGGAAGGCGGGGGTAACCGCGGCGACTGCGGGTTGCCGGTATTGCATGGCATGATCTGCCATAACCGTTAAACGCTCAGTGTGCATGTCTTGCGCTGGCGCAAGAAGGAATTGGGCATTTTGTGGAAATTTTGTAACCACAGTTCCCTAAGGAATGCGTCGTCGTGTAGGATATTGCACATTTCGTTACACATGAGCCTCGAAATTTGTGAAAGCTTCGGTCACCCAAAAACATGTCCTGCAGTACGCGTCGGATTCGCTCTTTGTTAGAGCCTTCTGTGCGTTACAGTGTGGCGTCTCGTCGGATTCGAAAGGCCCATCTTCGGGAGGTTCTACAACTACGTCGGCTACCAGGTGGTCTGGCAACGAAGAAACGACGTTGCAAAACTTGTTCTTCGACGAATGATGTTTCCAGGCGCACAATGTGATTAGAGGACTGAAAACCACGTCCAAAAGGGAGGGGGCCGGAAAGTTGTGGCCACTGTAACTCCCAAATAGATCAACGAGCGACGCGTAGCCGAAATTGGATACCAAAACGTCAATAAAACGAATGATCCGGCAAATTTCTACGGTACTGCATTATTAAACAATCGAATAAGCAAATAAAATCTGTACAAACCTCAAAGTGATCTCGAAACAACTTGAAAACAAGAGCCAAGTGTTACTGTGAGCGCAATTCAACAAATCTGAATGGAAGTAAATGAGCCTGGGTAAGAAAAGCACGCTCACCGTCACGCTGCACACGAACGAGCCAAATGTGGGCGCTCAAGTCGCGATTAAAACAAGTAGGATAAAAATTGAAGCAGATAAACAAACAAAGTCAACTGGTAGGATTGATGGGTAAATATACAAGGGGAGTGGAACGTCAAATGTCTATATGTATGTGAGGCGGATGAGGTTTGGTGAATGGAACGTAAAATTCGCGAAATGTGGAACCGAGATGGAATGACTGGGCTTTACAGGAAGGATTTTCACAGATCGATCAATACAGCCACCGCGGGAGCAAAAATAAAAACACTGAATAATGGTACAAAAAAATGCAATTCCAAATAACTCTATCGAGAAATGTACAGTTGAAATATCAATAACGGTAGAGTACCACAAAAAAAGCTACAGTTTTCTAAACTAATAGAAAATGGTTGAAAAATTCCAAAGTTATGCAACGGACTCACCAAAACCTGATGATGATTAACTGAGGCAGTTGTATGCGGGCTCACCAATTTAATAACTAGGTGGTTGCTGATGTTCGTCAGAACCTGTCACTAATGTTCGCTCACAATCTTTCCGGATATCTGTCCCAAGAGGAAACAGAACCAAGGATTATAATTGTAGAAATGATATATTCTGAAAATTCTGAAATGTTGGAAGTAAGTTTGGCTAGGTCTAGGTTGTTATTTAGGCAACGGCAGCGGGAACCTGAAAGTAGATCTGGTCAGTGCAAGTATGCGATACAGAGCTCACCGTGGGGAATTATATCCTTTCGATCCCAGTAAAAGCACAATAACAGTAAGTGTCCAAGTTTCTGTATCTAGTGAAGAAACGTCCTCTATTGCTATTGCCAACTAAAGGCGATACGTGCTAAATCCCGGAGGCACAGTCGATTGTGCCCGGTAGAGAAGAAGGGTCCTTATGTTAGAAGGAAAAGAATAACGGTGCTCTAAATTTTGTAATTAATCTACCTGATCGATAGGCTAAGTCACTACTTGATATCTAAACCTTGATGGTTGTGATATGTATGTCACGGTTATGTAACCATGTCTTGTCAATTATGCAGAACTACTTGGAAACTGAATCTGTCTAATGCTAGTCACCAGCGCAGGGTGAAAGTGCGACTGGTCCGTGATTTGATGATCACGTCCGGCTTCGATGGTTCTACCAGGAAACTTAGAGAGAAACGAGAGGCAAGAGAAAACTGCCGTTGCGAAACTGTCGGTTGAAGAACCTCTAAAGACCCAAACCAGGGATCAGAAGTGGTTAATGACTCGAACAAGTAGGTGAAGTTGATACGGTAGCGAAATTCAAGTTGCAGGTTGACAGAGCATAAGGTAACATATTTTGCGAGGAATGAAGAACAAACTCGAAAAGTTGCATCAAAATGTCTAAATTAGGGATGGTCCTTTGCACACTGCACTAATGATTTTTTTAAAGAATTTTTTGCTTGCAGATCCATGACAGTAGCTTACATGGAGTACGATAACAGAAAATATACCATTCCTCGAAGACATTACAGTCATTAAGTCGAAACAGTGGAGGATCCAAGAGACCACCAGAGCACGAAACTGGATATTTTGGCATCTAGCGGAAAAGTCCTGGATCCCGTAACTGAAAGGAACTGATCATTAGACACCGGACCATAACTGAGAACAAAATTGGTACAGACCACCTTCGTGAGTATTTCACCCGTTATTAACATAGGGAAGTTAACATTCACTGGTAATCTGCCAAAAAACTCTGGGTAAAAGCGACCACGTCGTGATCACCACAGAAATAAGTCTACTACACCGTAGGGACAATGTAAGGATGTCCAGGAACTACTGGGCGATGGATGTGACAGGCCTAAAGGCCAGGGCTGCAGAGCTGGTGTGGTCCCCTAGTCACGAAAGCGACTCCATAGACCA